CTGCGGTCCGGGATCTCCCTCCTGCCCGCTGGGCTGAGTGCCTGGGGCGGACCCGAGGGGCGGCGGCGGGCGCGGCCAGGCTGGGTGCACCCCTGCCACATGCCGGCTCACGGGATTGTTTTTCCTTCTTCTCCTTGCCCCCGTCTCTGAGGGGACAGGCCCAGCCGTGGTGGGGAGCAGAGGAGAGGGCGCTGAGGCCTGCCAGAGCCCGCCGAGGAGCAGCGCCCGAGCTGCAGGGGCAGAAGGGAGCAGAGGGAAGGCGGTGAGGGCACTGAGAGCGCTCATGCACACCCAGCAGCCCGGGGAACACCGGCACAGCCCGGCCGTGCGCACCGCGGTACCGCCGGACAGCGGGGCTGCGCTACAGCTACAGCTGTGCACAAAGTCGCTTCCACTCAAAGGTACGAAAAGAAACAAAGCGCATGAAAGGAAGGAAGCGCCGTCAGCGCTCGGCAGCCAGGAGACCGTGGGGACAGGGACCTGCCACTTCCGCGATGCTGCGCAGGAGGTCTGTGGTAGGAATTGCCAGAGCTCTTGCTGCCTGCCTCCAGTTTAGGAGATTCACCACCCTCCTTTTGCTCATTCCCTCTTCCACAGTCAAAGAGCATAAAGCACAAAATGCCTTCTATCGAGCAAAAGACAAACAAAGAAATGCAACCATCCAAAACGCAAGCCAAAGTGCATCTGGCTTGGGATGAATACTGGACCATGTCAGCTGGGAGTGAGAATTTTTCAGAAGGCTGGACTCCAGTCCAAAATGGACCCTGTCATTTGGAGTCTGAATATAAAAACAGCTTGCAAAACATTTTTTTCAGGCTTCTGACAAAAGAGTTGGTCCTTCTTTTGCTCTGGTATCTAGGCTACATTGTGCAGGCTCATGCATATCACTGGTTTTATTCACATGAGTAATTCCATTTGAATTTGGAGCGACAACGTGTATGTGTAAAGTTACTCATATGCTTTCTGTCTCTTTTATATATTGAAATTATGTGGGTTTGGTTTTTTTTCCACTTGATGGTGCAGCCCAGTAACTGTTGGCATCAAGGTTATAGTGAACCACCACAGTTATTATTGCTGTTTGTCAGCTGACACCTTTGTTTTCCTTGCCAGCCTAAAATGCAGCTATTCCTCTCTATGCAATCTATTCCAGCTATGCAATTATATCATGTTTTTATGCAACCATCTTTCACCTGATGGTGTAAATTCATCTTCCCTATAAAAGATCTTTTTGTACTCAGCTTTTCCTCCAGTCATGACTGACAGTCATTCCAGTTGTGCCATCTGAGTCTTTCTCACACAAGTCTCTCATGACTTCTCCCATACAGAATCATCTAAATTCATACTGATTCTAACAGGATATCTGGATGTTTTAATATCTGCCAGCTGGAACTTTTTATTATTCTCATTGCCAAATGCCCTCTCTTTCCTCCTTTATATTTCTTCAAGCTACAGCTTCTGCTATTCTCATAGCCTTGTACGTCTTCTCTATCTCATTGCTGCATGTTTGTCTAAGGGCAAAATGTCATGGGGACAAGAAAAACACAATGTCTATCTTCCATGAAGTGTGGCATTAAGTTTTGAGTGTGACATAGTGTTTTATTAGAGGCTTCTTTTCTTCAGTCAGGGGATATAAAGAGCAACCAAGTAAAATGCAGCCTTTTTGTTTTTAATGGAAGATAATAGCTTTTCTCTGATATACTCTCAGCTGTCAGGTATATATTCTACTACCTTAATTCATGCCTGAGGAGAGTAGTCTAGGAGAGTAGGCTGAGCAGCCACTGACTCCTTTGTCAACCAGAGTCTTTCTTCCTAACCTAGAAAATTTTGTGAATTAGTGTGAATAGAGTCTCCCTTAGGAAATAAAGTATTTTGAAGTTACTTCAGCAGCGGGTCTCAAGCTGTCAAGAAGATGCATTCAGTCACACCTAAGGACAGATTTATTACATTCAATCTCCAGGGCATCTGCCTCCTGCATCTTGAAAGAATCCAGCCAGTTAGTTTTTGTGAAATCCCCAAATGATGCCTTCTAGGAACACTGAGAACTGCTATTTCTGGGGGAAGGGTGATGACCCATGCATTGAAATGACCTGCTCCAGGGGTGACAGCACAAATGACTTCCAAGGAAAGGGTAAAAGGCCAAATACATCTTCAGACTGCCCTGCGAACATGGTGGGTGGGAATTTCTCATTTCTTTTATAATAAAATCTGAGGACCAGGAACTGTATTTCCTCCCTCTGTCCTATCTGGAAGATGCAAAATCACCTGTTTGTCTCCGGTAATTTCTGAAGAGCTGCCTTGCTGCAGCAACACTCCACAGCCAGGGTGTCCGTTCCATTTAGGTGCTGAGACCATAGCAGAGATGGAGTTCTGCCTATGGGTGGAGTCACCAATGGGACCCTAAATGCAATTTGAAAAGCAGATTAGGTTCTGAAGTCAATATCCTATTAAGGACCATTAATAAATAAAACCCATTAAAATAATAATAATAATTTATTAATAAATAAATAATAAACCCCATTAATTTTGAGCATAAATTTTTAATCAGACATGGCTGCTGCCCTGGATTTATATATCCATAACATGCTCTACTTGTGCCACCCATGGATGTGTATTTAAGGAAGGTCTTTCTCAGAAACTTCATTCAAAATTGAGCTGCAATTAAATGATTAATTGCAAATGTAAATTGTAATTAACATTACCTGGAGAGATCTACTAATCAAAACTATATATTCTAATTTTAGGTGATAAAAAAGCCTCATTCTTAAAAAAAAAAACCCAAACCTATCAAACAACTAACAAACAAAACCAAATTAAAAATCCCCAGCAAATGAAATTTTAATTTACCAAGGAAACTAAGGTGGTAAAAATGTATTAACTTTCATTGTACCATAAAACATATTTAAATACAGTGGGAAAGGCAATTACCTGATTCATATGTTAGAAGTGTATATAAAAATGTAACAACCCCAGGAATATTTTAAACACTGAATTTATTTTTTACAGATACTTCCTCCTCCACCATATTTGGGAAATAGATTAAATATTTACTGAATGATTCTAAACCAAGTTTGTATTTTTTGTATGTATTTACTTAGAAATAAGAAATATATCTAGCATATAGAAAATGCAGCTACATATATTTTTTTAATAAATTAATTTATTACTACTTAAGAGTTCACTTTGTAACACAGATTAAATAGTGCTACAAAACACTAATGACTAAAGGATTTTCATTTCTGGGTGAAAGCTTCTAGAAAGAAACAAAAGACAATATATTAATAATGTCAATTTGCAAATTTTAATTTTGGAATGATATGCAAACATAAATTTATTATGAACTTCTAAAATTAAAGCTTTAATATTAATGTGATCTGAATTAAAGAAAAGCAGTATCTTGCCTGCAGAGCTCCAGAAACAGGCAATGAGATTTTCTCTGTGAGAGATCGATGAGGCTCTTCTCTGCTGTGCACTGAAGGTGCCAATGCCCTCGGTGCTGTGGCACTGCTGTCTCCAGAAGGAGCAGTTACACACAGAGCCTTACAGTATATATAACTATATACACTATAATTATATGTGGCTGGTTCAGAAGAGTTGCCCCCTTTAAAATACCTGTTCATGTCAAAAAGCATTTTGAAGCACTGAGATCTACCAGTGATAATGTTTATGAATACTGCCCTAAACTTGTTAAAATTCAACAAAGAGTTACTCAAATAAAAGCCTCTTAGTTTTTCTGTCAGTTTTTAGTATGTCTGCTCTAAGCTTTATTCAGACAACAGGGGTTATTGTTTTACTTGAAAGTACCTTTCTTCTGAAGCCTGAAATCAGGATGGAGCCATGTCTTCTGCTTTGTCATTTTACAAGCACTCTTTCTGTCTTTCAGCTTCTCCCTGTAAGAAGCAATACCTCTTTCTGTTCCCTTCCTTTTTTCTTGACTCCTGCACTTGTAAGCTCAGTCATGTGGTAATTGCAAGTTTTACAACACGTGGCAAATCCAGGCCCTTATTTCAGTTCAGAATGCTAATAATACAGAACTGTCACAGACACTCTACAGTCCTAGAGCCATTCATACTTCCAGGTTGAAACTCTGAAGCTGAGCATATCTGAAAATTACTTCCTGTATTTTGAAAAAAAAAAAAAATCAAAGCATAAAAACCCCATCACAGAAACAGTTCAGGTTATCTTTTGTTTAGGAAAAAATAAAATCACAAACCAGAGGATACTAAATTTATCACACATGGTGAAGCATTGCAAGTAAACATGTTATACTGGAAAAAAAGCACCTTTTTCTCTATTCTAAACAAGTTGGGTTTGTTTCTAAAACTTTGTAAGGGCCTTGCAAGTCTCCAGAGTTTCCTCATTCATGCAGGGAGTCCCATTAGAAAAGACAGAATAAAACCACCTCTAGAGCCAAGGTTTCTAGGATAAATACAAATGGGAAGATCTGTTATTATTTTTGAAGAGCAGTAAAACATCAAGTTGCCTAGTGAGAAAATGCAGTGTTCAGCCTGGAAAGGTTCAAGGCTTGAGTTAAGAAAAGTGGGTCATTAACAAAAAAGCCCCAAAACAGAACAAGATTTCCTACTTGGGCCCCTCCCCATATGAATGGTTTCACATCTCATTACATTCCAAAAAGCTTGATCATTTTTAAAATGAAACTTTTCTGAGTGCATTGAAAACAGATGGAAATGAAGCAAGGGGCCAAGATAGAAAAAAGCTTTAATGAAGATCTATTTAAGCAATACTTTAAATAAATAAATCATTTGTCTGAGAAACCACATCTATCAGAAATATAAATAATTATATAATGAACATATAAACTACATTTCCTGAAGTAATTCCTGTCTTGCTACATTTCCTGAATTATTTGTATTATGAAACAGTAGTGGGACGCCATTAATTGATACACACTCAGTGCTATAGTTACTGCACTAATTGCAGCTCTCCAGGCCCTCCACTCAGCTCCTCCAGCCCTTTAACAATTGGGATTGATTGCACAGGAGCTATTTTTAGGATGGAATGGCAGAAGACTTTGGAGAGCAGCAGACATTTTTGTGTGTGCTACAGCTGTTTTGGGGAAAAAAAAAAAAAAAAGTTGAATAAAAATGTTCAGAGTTGTCTTTTTGGATTTTTTTTTTTTCTTCTGAAGTCAGAGCTTCCTATTGGATAACTGATATTATATCAAGTTGAAACTGAGGTCAGTGGTGCATGACACAAAGGACAAGGCTCGGTGACCTTGTTCTCAGAAGAGGAGCAGCTTTTCTTTGGAAATGGGACTGCTAAGGTTGACGGTAGATGAACTGTGGTGGGTTGCGTTCTAGAGAGAGGCAATCCGGGAGTCAAGTTTGCAGTTTAAAATACCAATGATGAAAGGCAAGATTCATGATTAATTTGGTGGGTTTTTTCCCTCAACTCTGAAGTGGAGCAGTTAACTGATTGTTAGGGATTGTAGGTCTGCTTCCAGGAATGCTTTAGCTGAGAGTATGTGGCTGAGATTCACAAGGATGAGCCAATGCTCAAAGGTGTGACTAGGAGGAGATACCCATTCACTTCATCCCAGCCTGGCCTTCTGTCATTCCATCCTGCTCCCTGCCTTGCAAGAGTTCAGCTGGCTAGATAAACAACTGGACAGGACTTTGTTGCTAATCTGTTATATGAAATCAGGGCTGTCATCATCTCTGAATGTTTGTACAATAGGAGGCAAGGCTTGGAGGAAGAAAAACAGATATATGCAGGAAGAAGGATAAGCAGCTTTATAACTGAGAAAAAAACCCCAAACCACAAGGGGACAAGCCTGTTTTACCTTTGTAAAGTATTAGTAACCTATCACCCTTTTCAGAGTAAATGATATCAATAGCACTAATATCTTGGCACTGATACACTGCACTGCATCAGCAAATTTGAAGTGTTGTACTAAGGAAGTGACTGTCCCCGTTTAGCTGTGGAAGTGTATGATTTGGCTGTGGTTGCTCAGAAGCTTGGCAGAGTTAGGGAGGTAATCCCTGTTTCATGCCTTCAGCTGCTTTTCCCTTTTCAATGGGATGCCAGAAAGCATTATGCTTACACACCTATAATGTGTCATTACTTCATACCTGCTAATTCCCCTGGACATGAGAAAAGCACCCTTAGTAAGTGCCACCCATCTTTGTATTCCTTCAGAGAAAACATACAAAGAATATACTTCAGTTTCTACAGTAATAGCTTACAATACTGGTTTGCATAGGAAAAAAAAACCCCACAGAACTGAAGTAGTTAATCTTGCCTGAATATACTGCAAGAGACTCTCTAGCATCTTTCTGTCACTGAATATATTCCAGTCTTAAAAATGGTAAATTTTAGAAATTAATTGGATGATAAATTAGATACAATAATTTCATATTAATATGAAATATAACTAGCTTTTGTATCTACCTTGTTTTACTCTATGTTCTTCCTCAAGGTAAGTGCAACTTGCCCTGGACTTACACATTACCAATCAGGTAAATGACTCTTTATTGATTTCCATCATGGGTTCTCAATACAGCTGGAATCTGGCTTCCATGAAAAGCCTTGGAATTGGGAGACTTTGTCACCTCATTTGGCGACGTGTCACCTCAGACACATTACCAATACACGGTCCAAAATTTGGTCTAATGCTGGGAGGGGTTTTTTGGGTGTGGTTTGTAAAATAATCTGTGTTAAAATAAGCCACTGTTTTGAAGAGGATTAATAGAAGAACATTTTCCTTGTACTGATGTCTTCACAGAACACAGTGACATCTTGTGGCATGGGAAAGGCTGGTGTAATTTTTTGCCAGATGCATCCTCATTTCAGCAGGTTTATAGATAAAAGTAAATAAATTCTGGAGAAGTGCTAAAGCATTATTTCCATCTGTAATATTCACTCCTTCAAAGCAGTTTTTTGGTTTTTTTTTTAAAGTACAGGTTTATCTAAAATACTCCTTTAGTTATGAAAAAAGACCAGGCCCTAGTATTGTAAATGTAATATGTTGGAGCTTCATTTCAGTTCACTGATATTCCCTGGAAAGCTTTCAGCTCCAGGAATGTTCCTGCCCCAACCTCACTGATACAAGAATCTCAGTCAGAATTTCAGGTGCTTTGTACAAGTTACTGTATTATCACAGATGGACAAAGTTATCCAATGCTGCTTTTGATGGGATTGAAAAGAAAACACAGTAACATTTTATCATAAGGTGGAGACTTCTTTTTTCCTTTCTTAGTCTTTTTGCAGACCAAACAGGGTTTAGGCCCCATCCCTGGTATTTTGGGACCCTCCTCTAACACGGCTGCCCTTTGCAGGTTGATCCTTGGATAAGATGCTGGTTGTCAGCATGAAAGGAAGAGCTGCCCGCGGTGCGTGGGAAGCCAGGGACGCGCAGCAGCCGCGTCCCCGTGACCGCTACAAACACGCCTGTGCTGTCTGCAGAGGGTTTGTTTATCTCTACGGAGGGCACGGCAGCACCACGCTGAGGGACTTCTGGAGGTACCACACAGGTGAGCTGGCCCCTTCTGTCAGTCAGGACTCAAGCAATGAAATTGAGGATGCTCTGTACTTAGCAGGTTATCTTCACTTAAAGTGTTTCTGTCACAGGGATGGATAAACTTCTTTTTGTTCATTGGGCAGATGGGGGGTATTTACTCCTTTTGCAGGTGTCCCACAAAGTTTTGTTTTCTCTTCCTTTTGTTTTGTTTTTTGTTTTTTTTCTCGACCAGAAATACTGAGTCATTTAAAATATCCTGGTTCTAGCAATGAGCTTTCCTGTCTCTCTAACACTGCAATAGTTCATGCATATAAAAGTGCACAAAGGGAACATGTGAATACAATACTTTGTAGGTTTGTAACATAGATGCACTATCAAATATAAGCATTTGTATTTTTTGACTTGATGTATGGTTTTCCTTGTTCAGTTGGTACTGGAATAACCAGTATTTTGCTGGGGCTCATGCTCATGGAATTGTCACATAGGTAACAATTAAAATTCAAGCAGTAACATTATATTCAAATAAATACATTATATTTAAATGTAACTATTACTATTATATTTAAATTTGCTAAATAGAAAAACGCATATATTTAATTTTTGGGAGAACAGAGGAAAGATGACAAAACACTTCATTTTAAGCAGCACAGCCCCATTCAAAGCTCACCTTTTCACATTTTCCTTACTGTTTATGTGTTGACTGCACCACTGTCTTAACTTCAGCTTTGGTTTATAGTGAAAAATGAATGGGAAATGTTGGATTGCTCAAGAGATGGTCCAGAAGAACTGGAAGAACATTCAATGGTGGCTTATAAGGTAGTAGACCAAAATTATATTGTCCATATCCTGGCATTTTATTTTCTACTATACAGTGCAATAAAATGCCATAGGTTATTATATACTGAAATACTATGCCCAGAAAGCATTATTGTGTTGGTGCAGTTCTGGATGTAGCTGTACCAGTGTTTGGGAATCTTTCTGAACAGAGTGGCTGTAATTCAGCTCTGCAGCAGCCCCCTGGTTTCCTCAGTCAGTGCTCAATAAGTAGCAGTAATACCAGATAAAGACCCTGGCAGCACATTCTCTGACTTATCTGTGCAGTTGTAACAGTTGCTCTGAATTCATTTGCATGATCAGCTACGGCATAAAAAACATTCACTACAGAATTCGCGTAGAAGAGGGACGGGGGAGTGAAGGAAAATAAGAATTACAGTCCTGCCTGTGAGGGGAAGACAGAATTTAGGATATCAGGAGCTACAACACAATGAAATATTTCTATAAAAACACATAATCCAATATTACCTGAGCAATGCCTCAAGAGAGCTCCAGATTCCCAAATTTCTGAAGCTGCCCCAGGCTGACAAGGAACGAGCGGTTCTGAAATGCCGTCCCTGTTACACAGCAGAATGTTCTTCAGGGCTTCCCACTGGGAGAGAATAAAGAGAGAATAATTAAAAGTTGGTAGCTTCTTGGGACTAATTGTTAAAAGATCATCATATTGTTAGCTATAATTTGCTGATAGCAACCTTTACATTTAAGAATTGTTTTTAAAATTATTTTTATGCTATGTGCCTTCCTGTAAGTGACAAATATTTGTGCATTTTGCAGGGCAGCCTGTATATTTTTGGTGGGATGGTGGATTCTGCTTTCACACAAGCAAAAACTCCTCTCTGGATATATGACATTGGTATGATACACAATAGCCAGTCTTTTCCGTGGGACATTCCCAGTCCCTAAGCAGTAATAAATAGTAAGAGCCAAACTGTTTTCTGCTGCTTGTAACAGAGACTTCCCTAAGCTTTGCAACAAGTAATGTGTGTAAAACTGTGTGCATATTTTCCCCTCAAAATTAGGCTGTTATCAGAGACACAGGTCTTACTTCAATTAGAGAGTGTTTTATGGGAAAATTTGATGTATTTTAAGGTTTCAGAATTTTCATTCCTCCCTCTCTCCCTCTTAAGTTTACTATATGATTATAAAACCTGATAATTCATGTATTAGTTAATTTTTATTTTTTATGCCACGTATATTTTAAAAACCAACCTCTTATAGAAGAATGTAGATCAGTAAAGTGTATCTCATTTTGTGCTTTTACTGAAGAAACACATAAGCTAGATCAAGAGAGATCAAATATAATTAAACAAAAAGGTGGGAAATTAACGACAACATTTTATAACATGGATTTTTTTTCTCCTAAGAACAAACATCTAGGATCTCATAAGTGTGTATTCTAAAAAATCAGTGCAGCATTTGAATTTAATAGCAATGTCATACACCGTGGATTCTCCCTTTGGAAATCCTGTGTACGGTAATGGCTGTCATTTTGATGTCACATCGGGAGGGGAGAGAGAGAGGCTCAGTTCTTTTTGAGACAGTAAATCTTATGTCCAGACCAAGATTTAAGTTTCCTGGCTTGTTTTGCTTCTTCCCTGTGTAACCTTAAGTCGATGGTATTTTTTCAATCCTTCCTTTGTGTTTTCCACCAGTTACCAGAGGTAACCTGCTGGAAGAAAGAAAAGCCTCAGAATATATTTTAAAGGGGAAAGCATCTTATTACTCCCAGTACTTACCAGTGGAAATTGGAAATGAACTGTTCAGCATAGGTTGTGTGTCTGTTTCATGGTTATTATTTAAAATCTTTTGGCAAGAATAGCTTTAATTAATGCAAGCCTGCAGTAATTTCTCATTGTACCTCTGGTGCTGGGTTATCTGATATTTCCTCTCCTTCACAATGATCCCAGATCTGTGATTGTTGGCTGTTATTTGAGGGCTATTTAAGGGACCTATGAAAAAGAACAAGAAAGAATTAGCCTGCCATAATAAGGTGTATGTGGTAAGCAGGAGTCATACATCTTTAAGGAAATCTGGGATTCCTGCAAGTTCAGAAAATGATGGAAGTCACAGGTTACTTCTGCATTATGAAATATAGCTTTAGGAAACAAGAATACAGTGTGGTACCTGTGTAATTCGGTATTAGACAAGGACAGAGGAAAACTGTTCAAACTGTATCTCCTGCAAGTCTCTCGGTGCTTCTGTCTTAGCGGGATTTCTTCAGCCTTGTCAGTAGAAAACACCAGGACGAGAGTTCCTTGAAAACGAGCTGTGTAATTTGAACAATTACTGTGGGAGGAGTGTCCTCTTGTGGTGCGGGATCTAAACTGCGCTTTATTAACTCAATCCCCCAGATTCTGCAAGATGGACAGAGAGCTGCAACGAACCAGCAGAGACGGAGGTAAGGAGCCAGGAAGTGGGGAATGTGTGAATCAAATGCCTGTTGCTTTGTTGATTAAACAGATTGCTTTGAAATATGTTCCCCCAAACAGTTCCAATCTCATCTCTTCAGAGACATGTGGCTATACTTTATTTCTTTGCACTTTCAATAACTTAAGGCTTTTTCCTTTTTCAAAACAGTGTTTAAAAATACTGCTCTTAAATTTTAAGTCCTATGTAAGAAGTTAAGTCCTCTCCTCTGCTGCTGCTTCTGTTTTTCTGAAATCCTTATCAAGAAAACTAATTTTAAATGGAATATTGGAACCATACGTGAAGCCTGTGCTTTTAAAAGTAGGGTTGTGAAAACAGATTGGCAGCCACGCTAATACATTTTGGAACGTGAAGTGCTGCAGCATTTTTCATTTCTTCAGTGTGAACACGTGGACTCACCAAGTTACTGCCACTTCTAATTGAAACTCGAGTGGAAGCAGTTATGGCTTGGTCTCTTGAGATTGGTTTTGTATCACTACACATTAAGAATCACTCTTTTTTTGCTACTGAAACTTCATCATTCTATACCTTGAAATTACACCCAAAAAAAATTTAAGATGTGACACAGTTACCACTTTGGTAGCCTGTGCCTGATAGAGGAGTCAAGAGAAAGATTGGGATTGCAGGGTCATTCGTGGGGAAAAAAAAAATAGGTGTATTTCTGAGACAGACATTGCTGCTGATATGACTTCATAAGTTATTATCTTAATTTTGAACTGTTCTAGAGCTCTGCACCAGCTAACAGAAAAGGTCACAGTGCAGTCGTGTACCATTCCAGCATGTACATCTATGGGGGATACTTTGGCATCAAAGGCATTTCTCAGGAGTTTTGGGAATTCCATTTTGGTAAGTTAAAAAGGGAGGTTAAGGTTTTGATCCAGTGTAAAACAACAACTGCAGCAGGAGAGCATGGCTTGCTCTGCTAAGAAAATTCTTATCAGTAGGAATGCTCTAAGTTAGTTTTGGATTCTCTTCGAGAACATTTAGTGATAAATTCTGTCAATTCAATTAATTGCTGGCTGAAATTAATTAGACTATTACGCTAGAATAAATTTTGTAGTACTTGCCAATTTTAGAGCTGAAAATCAGGGACAATGCTTGTTTACTATTCACTAAAATTCTTCAAGGATTACTAAAATCTTTCAGATACAGCAGAGACCTGATTTCAGCCTGTTAATGCCAACTTTTGTTCTGAAATCTCCAGCTGACCCTGGGAAGCCAAACCTGACAGAAGATAGTTTATTAGCATATTCATTACCACTCTGATTATTGCAAACCAGACGATTCCCAGAGATTTCCTAAATGCGTAACTTGTTATCTGATGGCCATTCTGTCACTATTTTGAAACAAATGATGGGTTTATCTCATCCTTCCTTCCCTCACAGGGAGAATAAGCATAGACATTAATGAATTAATGTTTTTGTTGACTGATTTTCCCCTCTAACAGCCAGGAAAGTATCTTTCTGTGTCAGAGTCAATGAACTGACAAAGCTGTAGGAAAAACTGCTCTGTAAATAAAATTTCCATGGCATCTGTCACACAGCATCTGACATTTTCATTAAAAGTTTATTTCAAAACTGATTTTTTTAAATGCACTTGTTCAGTGTCAGAATTTAAGCTGTTAACTCATAATAAGCTTAGAGCAGAAACCCTTATTCTCCAACTGAATAGTTGCCTCCTCCAGGAAGTAAGTCCTTTCTCAAATAGTCAGGGTAAATTTGATCCATCAATAAATCAGTATTTTTGTTTCAGATACAAGGAAGTGGTTGTGTGTCTCCAGCCCCTGTCAGAGCACCAGCCCCGGAGCTCGGCACGGCCACTCAGCAGTGGTTTATCACACAGCCATGTACCTCTTTGGGGGGCTGATGGGGCTCACTGAACAGAGGGACTTGTGGAGGTGGGACTTTGGAAGCAGCAGCTGGTCCAGCATCAGAACAAGGTAAACTATTCTATTTGTTACACTAAAAGAGCAGAGAAAGAGAATTCATCTTATTCTTTGATACTGTGTGTGGGAGGAGAGGGAGACGGTGCCCTCTTGGTAACTGTGGGGATTGTTCAGATCAGGATGCAGCGCTGCTGCCTTCCCTGGGGCTGCAGTCGGCTTTGCCCGGGAGAGCTGTTGGCAAGGCGTTGATGCAGCTGTCAGCAGTGTAATTTTGATGTCCCAATGCAGCTGTTCAGCAGTCATCCTTCTGAGTCAAAAGGAAAACAGAAGCTAAAATCAGCGCTAAGTTTCTTGTTGGTCTCCCCTTAACTGCTGGTTTCTCTTACCTTCAGCCAAGGACCTCCTCCGCTGGTAGGTCATGCTTCGATAGTCTGCAAAGACTCTATGCTGATTTTTGGCGGAGGGATTTCAAATTCCAGCCCTAATGACGACCTCTGGAAGTATCATTTCCATACGCAGACATGGAAGAAGCTCAGTAGTACTACAAAGGGAAACTTTTCTCCCAAAATGTATCACTGCATCTTAGGAATTGGTGCAGATTTCCAAACTACCTCAGATTTCATTGATACGTTCCCCACCCACTGCAAGAGTGAGCAGAAGGACCATCCCCAGCTGGTGCCCATCCCGAGGCACTTTGGCTTTTGCAGCTACTTCTGCCCACAGACGACAGAGCGGAGCAACGCCATTGAAATGAAAACCTTCAGCCTGCCCCCGGAGCCAGCAGAATTCCCTGCCTTCCAGACCACCTCAGAGGCAGGACTAGGCCCAAACAGAGACAGGAGCTGTTTGTCCAAAGACAAATCTCTCCGTCTGTTGGCTTGTTCGGGAGAGGCTTTAGCTGCTGCTCAGGCTCTGGGTGAAGAGGAGAGAACCAACTGTGGGTGTGCGGCCACGGGGGGTGAGAGCAGCTGTACCAACACACTGCTGCTCATTGGGGGCAAACCTTTGTCCAGCTTCTCTGAGATCTCCTTCAGGCAAATGGAGTTTGATTGCTTGTGATTGCTTTGCTTGCAAAGTGAAGGAATAAATTTCCACCACCGTGGCAGTAGGTGGAAAACCAACTGCTTGCAACTGTCTTCAGCTTCCTATCAGCATGCTGGGGAAAAAAATAATTAAACCTTCTCATACTTGCTGCGAACAGATTTTTTACAATGTTAACAAAACCTGACATATATTTAAGTCACAACTTGCATGTAAGTTGTGATTTCTGGGAGGAGCTTGTTGGAATGCTGCTCTTTTTGTTACTTTTCTCCTGGTCACTTCATACCCTTTCAAATTGCAATGGCCAATGCTGCCTTGAAAATCAGAACTGCAGTAGCACATACTGGTTCCACAAGATGCCATTTCAGGGGCAAAGCTTGCTCATCTTGCACTGGCATAAGGTAGAAACACAGTCACATTCGAGGGATTAAATTAGTCTTAATAGGAATGTTCTCTAAGAATTTAAAGAGATTTTATATTCTTGAGTGTTATTTGCACAATATACTTGCAACATGAGATGGCCTGTGACAAAGGAACCCAACAGATAAATCAGCAACTGAATTCTAGAAGATATTCAAGGATTGTCTGTAACCTTGAGGAAGTGAAACAATGAGTGCTCCCTGAAAATCATCAGCAAGGACCAGAGAAAGGGCATTATACCTGTAAGAACAAAGGATGTACCAAATGAGTGCTGGCTTTAATGACTAAATGAATGAATCAAAATGTTTTGATTTCCCACAGTGGGGTGGGGAGGGAACAGAAAGAGGAGGGCTTGATGGAGTGGCACAAAGCATGGGCTGTTTGGACTGCTAACTCATATTTTAGCCACAAAGGGATTTCTGCTTTTCCAACTCCATCTCTTTTTATCACCCTGTGTAGTACTTGTTACACATGTCCCCTCTGTACTAGTAAATTCTGAGTTCATATATGTTTTTTTCTTTGCTGAAAAGAAAAATTGCTTGTTTTGCAAGGTAATATTGTCCAGCATTCAAAGCATTTATTTCCATAGAAGTTACTAAATACTGGCCTTCTGACAGAACATTAGCTTACTGTCTTTAAGAGCAGCTGGTATCTGAAATTACCCGAAAGTGTAAGTTGCCAAATACTTGAAAAATTCACTTTTCAAGTTTCATGGGAACAATGCCTTTCAAGCCATTTACAGATTTCAAGAATATTTACAGATACTTTCATCATCTCTTCGTAAGTAACTGTCACATGAATTCAGTAGGAAAATTATAGATGGATTTGCAAAAAGCTACCTAGGAGTTATTTGGACCATCCATGACTCTTACCTAGAAACAGAGATGATTGTACGCTGCCACGTGAATAAAACCTGCTCTGTTTCCTATCACTGTGTGCTCATTTTCATCGTTATGAGTCTAAAATATGTGTTTGCGTTTTCAAACTGAACAAAAAAACTTACCTTTCTGACCAAGGAATGGGATTCTGCAAGTCCCAGTCATTTCCTTGCACTTCAGCTGGCTTCAAGGGCTGCCCAGGCTTTGAATTTCTCCTCCTAGAGCAAGAATTTCCCAGTTTGAGGAGGTTTGTTTGGGACATCAATACAGTGACTGAGCTGAGCATGTACTCAGTACTGCAATCTTAGATCAGCAGCTTGTTTTCCTTGTGCTGACTGACATGTCTGTTCTGGCATTATCCTGAGAGCTGCCGTAACATACAGCCTTTTATCTAGGATTGACAAGGGAAGGAAATTCAACTGGAAAGGGCAACAATAAACCAGTGATTTTTCCGAGTCACATGAGGGCCTCCTGGCAGGTAGCGGTATCCTGGGGATGTGCGAGAGCCCCAGGAAAATGCCATCCAGCCTCTGCCATTCCTTTCTTCCTGCCCCCTCAAACTCTCTTCCCTTTGGCAGCCCCACGAAGGGTTTAACATTTACTCGGAGCCAACGCAGACGGGACACGAGCCAGCCCAAAGGCAATGGCTTGGCACGGGCAGGAAAAAGCAGCTTGGAGCGTGCCCATCTCCCCTGTTGCCTCCCCTGGGCTCTGCCCACGTGCCAGGTCAGGTGGGGGCACCGGCAGCACCGCACCCACTCCGTCCCCTGAAAGATGCCAAACCTCTCCAGCCAGCCCTACGGGCCCAGCTGTTCCCTGCCCCTGTACAGGACAGGAGGAGAGCAGGGGCTTGGAAAAGGCCTGGCTGGAGGGATGGGGGCTCAGGGCTGGCTCCTGGGAGGCTGAGCCACAGTTGGCCCCAGCAGTGCTGTGCAAGGGGAGACAGCCCTGATCCTGATGTGTGGCTCTGTGCTACAGCAGCTTTGCTGAAGCCACCGGAGGCTCTGTCAACCCTTGGGGCCCATTCCCAGGTCTTGAAAAAACAAGGGTGAGCTCAAGCTAGAAGGGAAGGGGGTTTGGGATTTGAAGTGACTGCATCCCAAAAATGCCCAGAGCAGTGTCTGGCACCTCAGTCCACTCTGGGCAAGCACAACCCGTATTTCAGGTACCCTCCAGTGTCCAGACCTAGGGACACAATCCTTGCTCATGCCACTGTGACACTTCCTGGGTCATATCCCCTTTCAGACCTCAGCCAGTGCTATCAGCTACACCAAAAGGGTTCACAGAGCACCTCACTCCTCTTTTCCCACTGCAGTCACCTTTTCAGAGAGGAAGAAAAGAGCCTTTGTGGATGTATTTATGATATTTCTCCATAACTGTAGTAGTTAATGAGAATTTATCCCAGGCCCAAGCAAGTGACTAAAAGGTGCTCCCATCTGAAAGCTCGGTGGTGGCCTGCATGAAATAATGAATGGAATTACTGCAGCTAGAGGCCAATATTTAGAAACAAAACAAAACACACCATTTTTAGCTGGGACTGAAGGGGCTGCCACTGATGCTGGCTGTTCTGAATATCTCTGAAAAGCAGGGAACCTTGCACGTATCTGATATGCTCACAGAAATTCAATCCACAGAATAAAAACAAAAGGATGCAGCATTCTTGGCAACCTCATCTGAGACACAAGATGCGCTGTTGTATCATAAATTGTATATAAGGGAACAAATTTATCATTTCTAAACACCTCCACAAACTCATTGTCTTTAACTGACATTTCGTTTCTGAGCATTAAAATGTGTGAATGGCAGAAATATTTTCTTCTAAATTCTTCAAAGGAGTTTTTTTCAGTTAATAGTAGAAAAACCTAAAGGTTTCATTGTTTTAAGCTGCAAGTGGATTTGATGAACAACTCAGTGATTTATCAGTGGGATCACAATTTGACCTACACAACAAATTATGCCACAAGAGTAATTATTTCCTTTGACCTTAGTCATTAGGATGGAGTAATTTCTCTTCCTTTTGATACTTTCCAAATAGTTTTTGAGAAACAAAGATGATCAAAGGGTTTAGTTGCCCTTTGCTGCCTTCTTTAGCATTTAGCCAAATTCAGGGCTTGGGAGCAAACAGTTTCCTTTAAACAATCATTAGTGCTGCTGTACTTGAAAACACAGCCCAGCCCCTTGCTGGAGACAAGAGTGAGGGTGCTCAGTTAACTGGCCTGCACTGGAACCACCCTGGGCAGCTCGGGCTCTCCTGGGCACACACCTCAGGACTGCTTTTCAAAGGCACTGGACATCTGACAGTCTTCCTGGCCAATCTCAGCACTGTTGGAAAAAAGGCATTTCATTCTTTAGCATCTACCTGCAAGCTTAGGTGCTGTTTTAAGCTATGCTTTAACTGACAGCAGGCTAAGTTTAGAGCAGCAACCCAGTGTCCCAAGCCCCAGCTCTCAGTGCTGTGCCAGTGTAATGCAGGGGGCTTAAAGATGACTCTGCAAGACTTTTGCACTGACATGGTGTATTTAAGACAAAACTATAGTATAAACATTCCAAGACTGGGTTGAGTGGACTACAGATCTACTTGTTCCCATGTACAGTTTCAATACAGATCTCAGTGCAGTGCCTAACACAGTTCATATGTCACCAGTGCTGTCAAACAGAAGCAAGAGGGTGCATTTTGTTTTATAAAAAACCCAACAAATAAATTATACATTGAGAGCTATTGCCAAGCTTTACATATAAAAAGTAAAAATACAGTAGTTAGTGTGGCTTTAACAAAACAAATCTAGCTAAAAAAATATTCTTACATACTTTAAAAATAAGTTTGTCCAGTCATATAGGTGGGGGGGTTGTGTGTGTGTGTTTATGGAGCAGAGTGCTCAAGCCAAACAGTCAAAAGGAGGTGAATTCTGCAGGAGAATCCTGTGGCTCCGGGCTCTGTGGGTGTGGCAGCGCTGCCAGCAGTGACAGTGAGCAGGGCCCTGCACTCCTGTCTGTGCTGCCAACACCTGGAGCAAGCACACCCAGATTACACCTGTGTGAATCACTGAAAGGCCATTAGCAGATACTGGTCTGTTTTTTGGTTGAAAAGCTATGATTGTCCAGCTATATTTGAAAGCTGTGACAATACAGTGTCTAACAGCTACATGTATATGTATATATATATGTATACAGATACTATAACTTCCTAAACTCAGAAACACTATGTGCCCAGACAGTTTTAAATGCTAGCTGGCTGTGGAACAGAGCTGCTATCACTTCACCAGTAGATTTGGATTGTACCAGAGTATGTTCACAATGTGAAAAACACATCCAGTGCTGTTTGTGAAGGACACACTCATCCCAACAGCATATCTTTGCTTCATGAAACGAGAAGGAAGGAGCAGGGTGCAGACAAAGGGAGAGCAGGCAAGGACTGCAAGCAGTTTGTACAGACCCACACACAGCTGCACTGCTCACCTGAGCTGCTCTAACAGGGCCACAAATCTTCTTGCCGAAGTTGTGTCCAAAGCTGTCTTACATAGCATGTCTGTCTTTGACAAAGTATGAGTAAAATTTAAATTTAGTATCAAATACAATCAAGCCAAATCATTCATCATGACTGATTAACACGTAAGTAGGTAATTTATGTCATATAACTTACCTAATATTAAACTCTATTATCACTGAACTAAAGAAGATACTCCCTTAATTCTGGTGTAAGAAAGCCTCAGCTCCCACATTTTAATGCCCATTTCCTAAGCCTAATGCACACAGCACATGCAGACTCTGATGGTCTTAAATGGGTGAGACTGAAATGCATCTCTCTCTGGTTAATCAGTTTGAGATAAAGGCTGGGATGCTGTTATTATAAACACCAAGATTTCTATAAAACCTTTTACACTAATCAAAGAATGTGACTGGAGTAAAATCACTTTTACTTTTAGATCCTATCACTTAGCATTCATTCATTCATTCATTCCTGTCAACTCTTACAGCTTTTAAGTGGTTATCAGACCTGCCAACATCCTGACACCAGATTCACACAAAAGTTTTATTTATAAATCTCTTTAAATAATACAAAAAAATAGACTTTAGAAAATGCTTGGACCCTACAGCAAATCAATCAATAGTATAGCAATGGCAGGAAAATCCTTTTTTCCTCAGTAACAAACAGGCATTAACTAACACTTTGTAACACTAACTGTAGGAACTATTATCCCTATTTGTGTCTGATAAAAGGCAGGTGATGAGTAATGCTATGTTACCTGTTAGTCATGTTGTAACACAATACCTCTAGCTGCAAAGCAGAACAGTGATGCCTAACATCAGGTCACAAACCTGTGTCACCTTAGTCTCACCAGGCTCCCTATATAAGCAATAATTTGGTTAGCCAAGCAAGCTACATCAAAATAAATTGAATGAATATTTGCTCCAAGTATCAGATATTGCTGTGCAGAGTTGGGTTTGTAGCCCCAAATCTATTAGATATTACAAGTTCCCAATTTACCAGTTGAAATGTTTACATTTTTATGTGAAGTTTCAAATATTAAGTCTTCTGAAAATTGAGGAAAGCCTCTCCCCTGTGACATTTCTCTGTGTGTGCATGTGTGTAATTACAACATTCCCCTCCAACCACTGCTATCCTGACCATGCTGAAATAACAGTTGGTTATTTGGAACCATTTAGATTTTTAGAGGACACACTCACCACACGCTATTTACTTGTTATTTGCTGTGATGGCTTGGGAGGAATCTAAGGATGGTATTCAACATGCAGTGCTGGAAAACTGCAAACTTCTGTTATTCCAGTTTTGGGAGGGATTCAAGCTGACAGTTCGCAGAGCTCCTGAACCCAACGGGAAGAGCCAAATATCAAACATGCCTAAGAAAATGCTACTGCATTCTGTCTATTTACAAACCCAACACATGTAGCTGGCGAATGCCAGCTCAGCTGCTGAGCAAACAGATGAATAGCAAGCGCCAAGTTTCCACACACAGTCCTGGCTTTGTGCAGGAAGCAGACTGTTGCAGCCATTGCTTCCCTTTTCCTGCAGGAACTTTGCTGGCAACTG